AAAATTATGATTAGCCTCATAAATGGAGAACAATGTAATCCAAATAATTGCTTTAAAATGTAGACCTTTGATGTCACGGTGAAGCACTTGATTTACATGACAGTAGTGCAGCCCTGTCAATAGCTGTCTCATGTAGCACTAAAAGAAGACAGAATTGTGAAATCATTCATCTGATTATCACTTTCCTTTTTCCAGCAGAATCATCTAATATCACGATATATTAAATATCTTTTGACTGTTTAAACCAATAGCAATACCTTAATTTGAGGCACAGAGAATCTCATTCCAGGGCGATCAGCAAGACCAGTTAAATCGTGGTCCATGTATTCAAAGACCATGTAAATTCCACCTCTGTACTTGTTACCGTCTGGAAGAGACAAAAATGCAAATCTAAAAGCTATCAGCCTTAGGTAGTGTTCAAAAAAATGTTGAAGCGTTTTCATCCAGCCGGTTAAATGTGCTATTTGGTATTAAATGCTGAATTCAAAACAAGAATGTAGCTTTATAACAAAAACATAATGTGAATATTTTACCAGACGCCCCTTGCTCATCCTTCTCAGGACCTGGATATTCACATGCAAAACGATTGAAACACAAGAAAGGGTCAAGTATATGATAGAGAATAAGCTGATGCACAAAACTAGAAACCAAAAACCGGGTAACATTACCGGTGGATGTGACAATCTCTTTCAACTTGATGACATTCTCATGATGAAGCTTCTTTAATATCTTAATTTCACGAATAGCTGTAATAGGGAACTGCAAAACAGGAGGATTAAATTAATCCTAGATCGGCATATAGCTTCTGGTGGTGCAGAACAACAAGAAACGAGAGACCATTGAGGAAAAGAGTGTAGAAAGGCATACTCCTTCTCTTTCATTGTCCATCCGTATCTTCTTCAGAGCAACAATTTCCCCCGTTTTGATTTCTCTAGCCATGTAAACCTGTCTGCAAACACAAAAATCCCAGCTCAGGTTTAAAGATCAGTGTGAGTGTAAAAGCTCAAGTTTTCAAAATCGCTGAAAACCAAGAGAAACCAAAGGACGATACTTCAATTCCAAAATGTTTCCCAGCATTTCATTCTCATGAGCTATTAGAAATAAACCCTAGGCGCGGATTAGTGAATTTTAGCAAATAGAATTAAGTACCCGTAAGTTCCTTCACCAATCTGCTCTAATTTCTCGAAACAATCGACGCTCCGAGAACCCCACACCGGCACTTCGGTGACGTTCAGCTGCTCCGGCACCACCATTGCCATTCCTACTCAGCGCACTCTTCTTTAAACGTATTCTCTTGATTA